TGAACTGCCGAGTGGGGATACCTAATGGTCATTCTTCTCTTTTTTGTACCTGTCCTAACCACTTACTGTTTTTTTTTTTTTAGTTAAAGATTTATTTGTTTATTTGGAAGTGAGAGAAAGAGAAAAAGAGGGAGGAAGGGAGAGGGAGAGGGAGAGGGAGGGGGGAGAGAGAGAGGGAGGGTGAAGAGAGAGAGAGGGAGGGGGAAGAGAGGGAGAGGGAGAGGGAGAGGGAGAGGGAGAGGGAGAAACCATCCGCTGGTTCACTCTCCAGATGGCTGCAATACCCAGGGCTGGGCCAGGCTGAAGCCAGGAGCTTCTTTCAAGTGTTTTATATAGGTGGCAGATGCCCAAGCATCTCATCTTCTGCTGCTTTCCCAGGCACATTAGTAGAGAGCTGGATTGGAAGTGGAGCAGCTGGGACAGAAATTGGTGCCCATCTGGGATGCTGGCATTGAAGGCAGCAGCCTTACCAGCTATGCCACAATGCCAGCCCCCTAACCTCTTTCAAAATTAATCTAGTATCTGTTTCCTAAAAATCTAAAGCAGAATCTCATTTGCTTTCTTTTACTAATTAAGCAAAACTACATAAGTGTGCTTTCCAAAATAAATTAGTATATTTTAAAATCACTACATATTCTAGGCATATACAAAGAAGAAATTTTAGATTGTTGATCTTATCCTAATTTACTCCTTTGGACAAAAAGTGCTAAAAGGCTTTGGCCACCAGGCTGAAGCTGGACATTCTGTGGTAATGAGGAGGCCCATGGGGCATGTGAATGGGAAGAGTGGGAGAGTAAAAGCAATACCACCACTGCTGAAAACAGGGATGGAAGATTTTTCTTGTGACATACCTGTGGGTCCATGGCCTCGTTTTTATTCTTATTTATTTATTTATTAAAAAAAATTACAGAGAAAGAGAGGCAGATGCAGAGAGAATGACAGAGAGAAAGAGATCTCCCATCCACCAGTTCATTCCCCAAATGGCCACAATGGCCGTGGTTGGGCCAGGCTGAAGCTAGGAGCCAGGAGCCTCATCCAGGTCTCCCATGTGGGTGCAGGGTCCCAAAAAGTTGGGCCATCTTCCACTGCTTTCCCAGGCCCATTAGAAGGTAGCTGGACCAGAAGTGGAGCAGCTGGGACCCAAACTGGTACCCATGTAGGATGCTGGCACTGCAGTTGAAGGTTTTACCTACTATGCCTCAGCACCAGTCCCTGTTTGTTTTTTAGTAGATCAAATTTGAAAATATTTTTTGTCTCTTTACTTCCCTTCAAGAAGTCTTTGAAAAAATTTGCTTCCTAGAGTCAAATCACCACATTTTTGACATGTAAGAAAAACAGGTCTATAATACCTAGTTTCATGGCTAAAGGTATAAAAGACAACATGTCAACAAAATTTAAGCTGATGAGAACGTTAAAGCAGGCAACTCACTTGAAACTCCAATGGAAAAGGAGATGCAAATCATAATGCTTAGCACAGAATGTAACAGTCTAGAGATTTTAGAAAGTTAAAAACAATACACTGTCATAATCTTATTAGGGAATAAAAATGCTAACACATTAGCAAATGAGGCTTTGACTGGTCATGTTAGCTGAGAACTCATACCAATTTATCTTAAATGATTTTAAAGAAGACTTAGATCATGAGGGAAAACAGAACTAGAACAATTATGTGGTTAGGGAAAAGTGTGTCCTCCCTCAATAGCTTCTGTACATTGTGTTTACCAACCCAGGACAGGCCTAGGGTGTGTTCTAACAGCACCTGATTCCATCTGGGGAAAACTCTGAGTTCCACATTATAGAATGACATCTAAATTGCAGAAAATGCAAATACACAGGCATTTTTTTTTTTTTTTTTGACAGGCAGAGTGGACAGTGAGAGAGAGAGACAGAGAGAAAGGTCTTCCTTTGCCGTTGGTTCACCCTCCAATGGCCGCCACGGCCGGCGCACTGCGGCCGGAGCACCGCGCTGATCCGATGGCAGGAGCCAAGAGCCAGGTGCTTTTCCTGGTCTCCCATGGGGTGCAGGGCCCAAGCACCTGGGCCATCCTCCACTGCACTCCCTGGCCACAGCAGAGAGCTGGCCTGGAAGAGGGGCAACCGGGACAGAATCCAGCGCCCCAACTGGGACTAGAACCCGGTGTGCGGGCACCGCTAGGCGGAGGATTAGCCTAGTGAGCCGCGGCGCCGGCAAATACACAGGCATTTAAAACTTGCTGATGAAACTACTATCTATTCCACTTAAAAATGGGCTTTCAGTAATACCTATGATTAAAAATCATACCTATGTCATTTCTTACTATAAAATTATAACATTGATTTCCATTGCTGTTAAAGCTATAACAGATGAAATACGTAAATTTGTGGTATAAAGACAATGCCTATTAAATCATCATCACTATCTCTACCTTTAAAGAGAATGATCGAACATCCATTTGATTGCACAAAAACTCATTTTTAAACCACTGTGCACTGCTGATGTCCACATATGTGACTGCATGAAAAAGTTGTTTTTGTAGTTTCATAGAGAGCTAAGTAGCTCACTAGAGATAAACAAAGCACTCTAACTGACCTACTAATAATCATAAAATTTGAGTAAAATTATTTTATCAGCTTGTAGGAAAGTGATAGGACAGCTGATGGGAAACATGTTAGCTGTCTTACCATGGGGTCTTTTGATCCACAGGACCTATGACCTATACTCTAACACTGGCTGGCTTTGCAGGACACATTACCACCCGATGCAGTTGAGCAAGGCATGTTACGGATGCAAGGTGCCTATGCTGGTCAGAAGCACAGGTACGCTATTTCAGTAAACCTACGAGTAATGGGAGACAGAAAGTCCATACACTCCCCACCCACCCCAAGCCCCAGGATTTACCACGTAACAATGTGCATTTTGTGCTTCATGATCATCCCCTTTCAAACATATAAACATAACGGGCTACCTAGCGGGAAGTATGGAGAAAGTAAGCCAGATGACTTGAAGCTGTGGTGTAAGCCTCTACAAGAGAAATAACAGAAAAGAAAGCAATAACAGAAAAGAAAGCCCCAAAAAGAAAGGGGTGAGCAAAAAGAAAATATAAAGAGGTGAGGAGCCGGCGCCGTGGCTCAATAGGCTAATCCTCCACCTTGCGGCGCCGGCACACCGGGTTCTAGTCCCGGTTGGGGCGCCGGATTCTGTCCCGGTTGCCCCTCTTCCAGGCCAGCTCTCTGCTATGGCCAGGGAGTGCAGTGGAGGATGGCCCAGGTGCTTGGGCCCTGCACCCCATGGGAGACCAGGAAAAGCACCTGGATCCTGGCTCCTGCCATCGGATCAGCACGGTGCGCCGGCTGCAGCGGCGGCCATTGGAGGGTGATCCAACGGCAAAGGAAGACCTTTCTCTCTCTGTCTCTCTCTCTCACTGTCCACTCTGCCTGTCAAAAAAAAAATAAATAAATAAAAAATAAAGAGGTGAGCATTTGGTCTCCTGGTTAAGATGCCCAAATCCGGTACTAGAGTGCCTGAGTTTAAGTCTCAGCTCTGCTTTGGATTCCAGCTTCCTGCTAATGTGTACCCTAGGAGGCAGCAGATGACGGCTCAAACAGCAGCGTCCTCACCACCCCCACTTGGGAGTCCTAGACTGTGTTCCCAGCTCCTGGTTCTGGTATCTGCAACACCTGAGCTCTTGCAGGCATTGGAAGAAGGAATTGGCAAATGGGAGCTCTGTCTTACCTGCCCTGTATGTGTGTGCATCAAATATTTGAAAAAAGAAAACAAAATGTCAGAAAGGAAATTTTGCTACCCATTTCCTAGCACCAACCAATCACTAGAGCATTTCCCACTTTCCATGCTCTATAGCGGCAGAAGTCCCGTCATGCCGCTCCTCTGCCATGTGGCAGCGACACCGTGTAGTGGAAAACAACCCAGTGCTCAGACTGACAGTAACCACGCAGGACCAGGGTGGCTGGAAGGGAAGAAAAAGGCCAGGAGCTATGATGAGATCATCTACTTTTGCCTATCACTGTGGAAACGCAGTCCTACACTGTTCACTGCAGCATCTGAAATCACTGAACAGGAAAGAAAAGATTGTCAGAGGATTCCTATCTTTACCACTCTGCAAAATACAGAGGTCAGAAAAAAGTCACTCTTCCCCCATTGTATATTTGAAAGGCAGAGAGAGAGAGAGAGAGAGAGAGAGAGAGAGAGAGATCTTCCTTCTTAGCTGATTTATGCCCAAATGCTCACAGCAGCCAGGGAAGAAGCCAAGAGCCCAGCACTCCATCAGTCTCCATCTTAGGTGGGAGGGGCCCAAGTACACTTGCTGCCCACCCAGGATTCAGGAAGCTAGGTCAGAAGCAGGAGAGCCAGGACTCAAACCAGGTATTTGGATATGGTGTGCAGGTGTCCTGAGCCATGTTTTAATCGCTATGTTAAATGCCTGCTCAGAGAGAATGCCTTAATTGTCATTTTAGCCCCTGAAGCACCAAGCGCTGTGCCACATCTGATAAGCAGCTGCAAATATGCCCAGAACTGACTCTTCCCTATGAGTGTCCCTGTGTCTCACATGTTCTTCCTAGTACTGATTTTCGCACATCAGCCCTTGTTTCTTCCCAAAGCTTGAACTTCTCTGTCTCTGTGGCTTAACTGCTAATTTAGACAATATGAAATAACATTATATTGTATTTATTGGAACAGAACTTTAGGTTCAATTTTTTAATTGGAAAAGTAAATGTTAGGAACACTATCTTCTTTCCTCTAAAATACTTTACAAATTAAATTATGGACTCACAGCCTTCAAAAGTTCCATAACCCTAAGTTAAAGATGTGCTGCTTTTTGCTATAGTAAAATATGATTTTGAAAAAGCCTATTTGTGTCATATTCTTTTTTCTTTTTTGCTGTTAAATAAAGGCAAGATATTTCCATAATTGCCTATAAAAAGTAACACAGAACTATCCTGGTTCCTATGCAAGTATACTTTTAAAATGGAAAACTACCATTCAATGGGAAAAAGCCACTTACTTTTCATAGTTCCATCTTCTTCTTCCTCATCCTCACTGTTTATAACCATGGTCCCCAGGTCAGATTCTAGCATGGTGCTGTTATGTTCAATCATGGTCTGGGCCCCCTCACTCATTGTGCTCGTGGCCCGCATCGTGCCCACACTCTCCGAGCTGGTCTTCACCATTGTGTGGGAATCCAGCTCATCTTCATCCTGCAGGCAAAATACCCACATGAAGGAAGACTTTTCCAAGACAGCTGGATTGCTTAATTCTTAACAATAATGTCAGCATATTACACTTTTACTAATGCCAAAACAATACCATTACTACTAATTTTAATGTAAGGCCACACAAATTTTATCCTCACAGAAAAAGTTATTCAGAATAACTTAAAGCTTTAGGTACTTAAAGCACAAGCAATAGCAAATGATAAAACATAAGGCTACATGTTGCTTTTAAAATAAGGATTAAAGTAGGTAAATGATCAACAAATGCATAACAAAGATGATGACAAAATCATTAAACATACAAAAGAGAATACTTTAAGATAGAACATGTGGGCACTTCCTACTTTAACAGGCATAATAATGTTTATAACTTCTACAACAGCTTTTTCCTTTAAATTTAAATTTGTTTCCTTTAAATTTTGGTAAAAACATGTTACATAAAACTTACCATTTTAAACATTTAAAATTTATTTATTTTCATTTTATTCAAAAGACAGAGAAAGAAAGAAAAAGAAAGAAGGAAGGAAGAATGGACATTTGTGTTGTTTACACCTTTTGGATACTGTGAATGATGTTGGTACAAACACTCATGTGGTGATCTACTTGAGTCCCTGCTTTCTGTCTTTTGGGTATACACCTACAAGTGTAATGGCAACAGGATAAGGTAACTAACTCTATGCTTATTTTTTTGAGGAACTACCAAACTGCTTTCCACAACTGCTGTACTGTTTTACACTGCCACCAACAATGCAGAGGGTTTCAATTTCCCACATTCTTGCCAACACTCATTATTTTTCATTTGAAAATAAATAGCCATCCTAATGGATAGGAAAGTGCTATCTCAAGATTTGATTTGCATTTCTCTACTGAGATGATGATGTACCATCTTTTTGCATGCTTACTGGCCATTTACATATCTTCTTTGAAGAAATGTCAAGTCCTTTGCCTACTTTTGAAATGGGTTATTTGTTTTCTGTTGTTGTAGGGTTGTTACACATTCTGGGTGCTACTCCCTTATGAAATACATGATTTGCAAATACTTTTTGCCATTCCATAGGTTGTCTTTTCACTCTGTTGATAGTGTCCTTTGATGCACAAATTTTTAATCTTAATGGAGTTTGATTTACCTATTTTTTCTTTGGTTGTTTACATTTTTCTATAATATCCCAGTCATTAGCTTTTAAATATTTCACAGAGGAAAAAGTAAGTAATGTAAGTATGAATGAAAATGCTTTTTAGAATATTCAAAATATATACACGAATAGGGCCACAAAATAAACTAAAATATCAAATTTTCTTTTTGGAAACACTTGCTTATACACTGAAATTCATATAAATCTATTCCACTTTTCGCGGAAACATACAAACAAAATCTAGTTTTGACGAAAGTCAAAATGCAAATATGGAACATCAATGTTGTGTCTTAGCAACTTAGGTGGCTTGACATAACAGGAGTTGGATGGCTATTTAATACTCCTCTTCCTAAAATAACAGGATAAGCTTGGGCATTATATTTCAAGGTCTTTTGCTCTCCTTTTATGACCCTCTCTCTTTTGGAAGACCTCTTCATTCTCATGCCTACAACTACCTAATACTCTGAAGACTCCCAAATCCCAAAATCTTGCTACATCTTTACTTAGTAATTAAATGCTTAATGACATCTACATTCAATATTTCCAAAAACAACCACCATAAAACACAGTGATTATCACAAGTTTCCCAAGAGTTGTACTTCAATGTCTTCTTATATTCATTCTGTTTAATTCTCCATGCAAGATCTTCAAAAGACGATTCACTTTTAGCTTTTCTTTTCCATTCCGTTTGCTACTGGGTAAATCTCATGCTTCAAACCTGGGTTAGTGTATGTAATGCCTTTTGACTGAAGACTCTCCCATCTCATCTTCTCAAATCAGGTACATGTTAGTTAGATCTTTGTTGATATCACTTACTAAGCCTAAGACCTTTAGGAAATTCACTTCAACCCTCTAAAGCTTAATTTCTCCCCTGGATGTTATAATGATTAAGCGAAAAAAGGTAGGCAAAACTGCTGCCTGCTACCTGCACCAAAGCAGTTTCACTATGAGAAACAGTGACTTGATCAGCCCTTGTCCTGACTGTTGATGTACAATTTAATACTTTATCCCTTTTAATATTTTTTTGTTCTAGTTAATACTATTGGTTGAACTCTGTAATTAACACACAATTATTCCTAGGTGTTTAAAGTTAACTGAAAAGTGATCCCTGTTAAATATAAGAGTGGGAATAAGAGAGAGAGGGGATGTACAATTTGGGACACGCTCAAGCTGACTTGCCCCAAATGGTAGAGTTAGAAATGTGCCAGGAGATTCCAATACAATCCCATCAAGGTTGCATGTATCAATGCCATCTCACTAGTCCAAGTGATCAATTTCAGGTCACAATTGATCACACTGATAGGTCTAAGAGTCAAAGGGATCACAGAAACAAGACTAGTGTCTGCTAATACTAACTGATAGAATCAAAAAGGGAGAGAACGATCCAACATGGGAAGTGGGATAACCAGCAGACTCATAGAATGGCAGTTGTCCTAAACAGCACTCTGGCCTCGGAATCGGCCCTTAAGGTATTCGGATCTGGCTGAAGAGCCCATGAGAGTATTTTAGGCATGGAAAGCCAAGACACTCTGGCAAAACAAAACAAAACAAAACAACACAACACCTAAATGAAAGATCTCTGCGAGTGAGATCCCAGAGGAAAGAACGGGCCATCAATGAAGGAGTTACCTTTCTCTGAAGGGAGGAAAGAACTTCCACTTTGACTATGACCTTGTCTAAATATGATCAGAGTTGGTGAACTCAAAAGGCTTCCATAGCCTTGGCAACTCATGACTAGAGCCTAGGGAGATTACTGACGCCATAAACAAGAGTGTCAATTTGTTAAGTCAACAACAGGAGTCACTGTGTACTTACTCCCCATGTAGGATCTCTGTCCTTAATGTGTTGTCCAATGTGAATTAATGCTATAACTAGTACTGAAACAGTATTTGGCAATTTGTATTCTGTGTGGGGGCAAACTGATGAAATCTTTACTTAATATATACTAAATCGATCTTCTGTATATAAAGAGAATTGAAAATGAATCCTGATGTGAATGGAATGGGAGAGGGAGCGGGAGATGGGAGGGGTGCAAGTGGGAGGGAAGTTATGCGGGGGAGCCATTGTAATCCATAAACTGTACTTTGGAAATTTATATTTACTAAATAAAAGTTAAAAAAAAGAAAAAAAAGCAGTTTCACTCCTTCAGAGTACACAGCAATATACCAGTCTTTCTTGAATACTATTTCTTTTCTGTTTGCTAAATAGTTTATTTATTATTTATTTAAAAGGCAGAATTACAAAGAGGCAGAGAGACAGCTAGGGAGAGAGAGGTCTTCCATTCAATGGTTCACTCCCCAACTGGCTGCAATGGCCAGAGCTGCACTGATCTGAAGCCAGGAACCAGGAGCTTCTTCTGGGTCTCCCACATGGGTGCAGGGGCCCAAGGACTTGGGCCATCTTCTACTGCTTTCCCAGGCCACAGCAGAGAACTGGACCAGAAGAAGAGCAGCCGGGACTTGAACAGGTGCTCATATGGGATTCTGGCACTGCAGGTGGAAGATTAACTTACTGTGCCACAGTGCTGCCCCATCTTGAATACTATTTCTATTACATAATTCTTCTACGCAGAATCTATACTGGCTCCCAGTTTTTACCTACATTAAAGCTATCTTGCCACCTAGATTTTGATTTCTTTTATGTTCTTATCTCATTATTTTTGGCCAATCCTATTTTTCCATTGTTCATGTATTCTTTAAGAGTAGTGTATTGACACCTTAATTCACTCTCCTTCCTATGGGGTTATGATAAACAGGATACTAAGCTCATTAAGATTCCTCTCTTTGATCATGTTTTTTTTTCTGCCCAGAATATCCTTCTACTCTATCCATTTAATTAATCCTATATAGTCTCAGATCAAGTATTTATTGCTTCCATGGCTAATTCAGTCTTTATTAATTATCCTCTTTTTCAAACTTCTACACAATTTACAACCTGTATTATATACTTTTGCATTTAAATTCATGATCTCATACTGTGAACAATTATTTTGTAATGAATATAAACACTTTATACATAAGAATGCACTTCTGAGTCCACTAAAGTGTTTCATTTAATATTCAAAACACAGTAAGTTCTGAATATATATTTATTTCTTTACAGAATTATAAAATTATGAACCTCTATATTGGAATGAAACTCATCCAACCTTCTTGTATGCATGGATTTCAAAATTTTTTTTTTTTTTTTTTTTTGGGACAGGCAGAGTGGACAGTGAGAGAGAGACAGAGAGAAAGGTCTTCCTTTGCCGTTGGTTCATCCTCCAATGGCTGCCATGGCCGGCATGCTGCGGCTGGCGCACCACGCTGATCCGATGGCAGAAACCAGGTACTTCTCCTGGTCTCCCATGGGGTGCAGGGCCCAAGCACTTGGGCCATCCTCCACTGCACTCCCTGGCCACAGCAGAGAGCTGGCCTGGAAGAGGGGCAACCGGGACAGAATCCGGCGCCCCGACTGGGACTAGAACCCGGTGTGCCAGCACCGCAAGGCGGAGGATTAGCCTAGTGAGCCGCGGTGCTGGCCCATGGATTTCAAATTTTTTGTTTTGCACCAGAAAATTAAATTCCATTTTCTACATAGACAGTAAGACTCCCCAAAGTTTGTATACCTACTTAAAAAATACAGGGGCAGGCACTGGACCTAGCAGTTAAGACACTGGTTTTGATGCCCACATCCCATCTCAGCATGGTTGGGCAGAATGCTTGGTATGTTCCTAATTCCAGCTTACTGCTAATGCAGACCCTGGGAGGCAGCAGGGATGGATCAAGCAATATGTTCCCTGCCACCCATTTGGATTGAGTTCCCAGCTCCTGGATCTAGTCCCAGCACCAGCCCTGGCCATTGCAGGCATTT